GAATTATATTTAAAATTCCATGGATGTTTGCTCTATATATAACAAAATAGTTTTAAATAAATGAAATAATGAATCCATCAAGTAACAAAATAGTTTTTTAAATAAATGAAATAATGAATCCATCAAGTAACAAAATAGTTTTTTAAATAAATGAAATGAATCCCATAATACAAAACAAAAAAACCTACCGCGTATTTCCCGAACTTCTTTCAAGATACCTTTGACAAAGTTATCAAAATATCTGATATAAGGTTTTAACGACGTTTTCTCGTAATCTTTTTATAAAATGAATTCAAAATAACAATAATTAGAATAAAGTTGATAATTTAATAGTGTTTAAACAAAAATATTTACCACTATGAACCTTTCGCTCTCCTTCAATATATTGATTCAACTCGTTGTATACGGAAGCAACTGTAGGTACATTAAATGGATCAAAGTTTTCACAGTCTTCCGGTTGAATCGGTACGCAAACTCGTCCTATGAAAAGTGATTATTTTTTAAACTTAGATCCTTATGTCTATATGTTATTATTTGCTCATAATGCTTACCTGTTTTTGGATGTGCACAAAAGGGACCCTTTAATAAATGATTTATATGTTTAGATACTGCTTCATCAATTCTTGGATAAGTATATTGAATCATTATCTCAAATTTGCAAGATTGAAGTTGTTCGGTTTTCTTTGAAAACTATAATTTAAATTCAATAAATGACAAATGAATTCAATCAATTGAAATTGTTACACTCCAAGGATGAACGTTTACCTTTTTTCCTGAAACATTCGCAGCATTTTCTAGTTCATTAACCAACTCCTCCCATTTTTGGACGGAGGATTTTGACTGCGACGAATTCCATTTATTGGTCAATTTTTTTATTATTTCTGAAACGGGTCGAATTAATACATATTTGTTTTTTTTTTTTGTTAAACAAAAAAATTATTTATAATTTACCATCATCTGGAATACAATTTAAGACCTTGGACCAATTTTCTTCCGAACCCAACACATCTTGATCTTTTAATACAATGTCTTCAAAGTAATCTTCAATGATGTTCAAAGACCGCCTATACATTATGAATAGTAACTTTTAGCATTTAAAAAGAGAACAAGGATCCTTATTCTTCAAGAAATTTACCTAATAGATGGATGTAAAGCTTTGTTGAGGTGCACTTTCTTATTTACTTGAGCGCCACCCTAAAAATTATAGATCACATTAAGCGAACTGATGTTAACTTAAAATATTATAAAATTTTGACCTTACTTTTATGAGTGCAAGATATGATACAATTGCGGATCTATTTTCATTGCTCAATTTCCGAGCGTTTTCATCGCAAACCCAGCAATGAACACCACGTCGACCAGAATATACCCAAAGTAAGTGCTTAAATCCGAAATCCTCTACCGATTTACACGTTTTAGTGAAAATAGAACCTTAAAAACTAATTTTTCAAAAA